AAAAAAAAAAAAACGATTACACATTTACTTTACAAAAATGGGTCAATGTTGTTCCTCTAAATCTTCTCTACGCAAATCGAATGGTACCAATCGTCGTGCTACTACAGAGCCGCTTATGGACACATCACAGAAGGATCCCGTCCCAGTATATGTAGATGCACATGATTCCCCAAAGCCATTGGAACTCAGTAAACATAATGAGGATGCCTTATTAAAGAAGGAAGTGGAGGATTTTCTTATTGACTCAACGGGTAGTATGTCTAGTAATTCCCTGCATAATATGTTGGCAGAGGCAAAGAAAATAAAGGAGACAAGTCAAGCTAATGGAGATGATGAAAGTTCAGATCTCATGGAAACTTCAGAAGATAAATATTATGATGATGAAGAAGACATAATAGAGAATACACTTATTCCCTCCTTAGCTGGTAAGTTACCTCTACCAACATCAGCGGAGAGTGATGCCAACTTCTTCACCACCCGCAGTTTACTCGATAACTCCTGTAGTATCTCCTATCGTCCCCCAAGCGGATATGCATTAGAGCGAACCAATAGTTTAGGTATGGCCAGTGAACCCTTTCCCGCCAGTGAGGCCTTTATCTCCTGTCGGAGTATTTCTAATATTCCCTCTTCTTTGACGAGTGCCCGACCAACAATAACAACAACAACAACAACCGCGGCTGCTGCGGGATTAGGAATTCCTCCTCCTCCTCCTCCATCATCACTTCCGTATATATTGCCAAAGCCATTAGCGTTAAATCCACCACCTCCGGCTAGCAACACCGCATCTGAACGGGCCTTTCATCCTTGTCAGAGTCTCTTCACGGTGGGAACGGCAACTCCGCCGGTGAGTAGTCGTGAACGGAAACCACCCACACGTTCAGGGAATATATTTTCACGTGCAAGCACACGGACAAGTATTTCACGTCCAGTGATCTCCGCACGTAATGGGGGGAGTTTGAATAATCTCGCAAAAGGAGAAAACTCCAAAAATGGAGGAAGAGTGATACCAGTCATGAAGGTAATAGACGGTGATGCTGTGTTACGATCACAGTTATCTACAAACACACCAGGATCATCTTCATTACTCTTACAAGGGGAAAATAATTATTTATATGATAGACAAGATACAAGTATGGCAGGAAGTGCTCTTTTTCATTCCTTCGCTACCGCAAGTGATGATTTTATTCTTGCCGATACACCATTAAACTCATTAACACCAGCCCCACCAGAACAGGATATTCCCTTATCTGAACCCTCCTTACCTCCACCGCAATCCCAATCTCCTCCTCCACCACTCATTCAACCATTATTATCACAAAAACAACAAAAACAATCATCCTCTTCACATCTCTCACAGGGTTCTTTCGCTGCATCGGATGCCGCACATCCACAGCAAAAGAAAACAAAAACAACTGTCAGTACAAATGGATCTATCGCATCATCATCATTATCATCATCGTTCACAACTGATAAAAAGAAATCACCAGTAGTGAAGACTGTGAAAGAATTCCCAGTATGGATGAAAGATAATATGGGGGTAAAAGCAGTAAAACCTGTTTCGCATACTTTACCATCATCACAAATGAGTGGGAGAAGTTCTCTGCAAAGTGATTCAGTATTGTCATTATCATCAAAGACACGTCCAAAGCGAAATACAGATACTCTTGCAAAGAATACTAATACTAATAATAATAATAATAATAATAATAATAATAATAATAATAATAATAATAATAATAAAGGTCCACAGAAGAAAACCATGGGAAACACGGAACTACCAAAACAAGAAGAAAATGTGAAGGAGGAGGACAAAGAGAAAGAGAGGGTATTTTCGAGATCAGGTCATCGTGATTCTTTGGTACCACTGCGTGAAGAAGAAGAAAATGAAAATAATATCCATCAGCGAAACGAGAAGAATGGGGAAAATGAAGAAGCTGTGAACGCAGTAGAGTCAAAGAAGAAATGCACTTCAGATGGTACTGTGCCATTATCTTCCAGGGGATCAAAGCGGAATCTCATGGAAAATGATTCCAACGAAGACGAACATGAAAATAAGAAGGAGAAGGAGCCATTTATGCAGGAGGAAAAAGATGAAGAACTACTTGTTGATAAAGTGAATGTGAGGAACTCACCCATACAGGATGAGTATGATCAAGAGGATTATAATGGTGAAAATGAAGATGATGAACATGAAGTGAATAATAATAATAATAATAATAATAATAATAATAATAAAGAAGAAGAGGAGGATTCGTTAATGCAGGAAGGGGATGGGGAAGATAACCGACAGAGTGAAGATGCAGAAAGAGAAAATAAATATGCCAAGAAAGAAAGTGAAAAGGAAAAGGAGAGAAGTGTGGACTCCTATCGAACTGATAGTAGTAATAGCAGTAACAGTGGTAGTTATAATAATGGAAGAAGCAGAAGATCAAGTCAGTCCTCAACGAGATCTTCAACTAATATAAAGAATGGGGAAATACACCCAGGTGATAGTCTTATCCCTTTTACCACGAGTGCCTTGGATAATAATGAGAAGAAAGAAGACGATATGAATACCAACAATCGTAAGAATAGTATTAATAATATGGAGAATGGAAGTGCAAGCATGAGTGGAGTAAAGGCGGATGTGAGTGTTAGCAGTAAAGCCAACAATATCTCTAGTGACACTCGTGGGGAAACTTCCACCAGTGAACAGAATGAGAATGAGGAAAAAATAGTTCTTTTGGCGTAAACAGAAATATCTCTCTCAATCCCTACAGTAGAAGAGAAGTTGTAAGGGGTAGTTACACATTATTCATGAGCAAATCAATAAAAGAAGAAAAAAAAAAATAAATAAATAAATAAAGGGGGAGGTGATATAATAGAAAACAAATAAACATAATAAAGAAAGAAAGAAAGAAAGAAAGAAAGAAAAAAAAAAAACATTTATTTCAAGTGGTTAGGAGAAGATATTCCTTATATGTTTTTTTTTTTTTTTTTTTTTTTTTTTTTTTCTCTCTCCTGAACATGCCATTTCAATTCGGCATTTGAATTCCCCCACCCCCACCTGCTCCTTCGCCTTATTTTAGTGCTGCTGATCACAATTTTTTTTTTTTTTTTGCTATTTTATTGAAGTGCATAGTTTTCTTTATATATTATTATAATTATTATATATATATTATTATTATTATATATTGTTATATTGATATTATTTCAGTGCGTTGTGTGATTGTTTATTCTCTATATTTGCTCCTGTGCTTCTCACATTTTAGCTACTTGGCAGGATTTCTTCCCCTTCTTCTATTTTGGCTCATTCGTCCAATATATTCACTCTTATTTTCCTCATTTTTTTTTTTCTCAAATTTTTTTTTTCTTTTTCATTCGCTTGGCTTGCGCTGCCTTTTTTTTATTATTATTTTTATTTTATTTTTGTTTTTTCTCTCTTCGCTATTCTTCTTCGATTTATTCTTTTGCTGCTATTGCTAGTAGTGAAGGTAAGAGGTGTGTACAATAGGGGAAAAAACAATCATGCGTGAAAGAAGGAAAGAGAGAAAAGAAAAAAAAAAAAAAAAAAAAAGAAAAAGAAAAAGAGTCGAAATACAGTTCGGTTTTCTTTTCTGAGATCTTTATATAAATAATATTCTTCCCATGTGTTGATCTTTGTTTTACTCTTTTGTATGCGTACACTTCACTAGAGATGATAATGAGTTAATGGGAAGTTGAGAGAAAAGGAAATAAGCTAAACTAAAGCAAAAACAAACAAACAAGCGAACGAACAAAACAAACAAGCTTTACGAACAGAATGCTTCTGTCAATACCCAATAATTACAAATTCTTTTTATGCTTAAGAACTTTCTCACTTGTTGTTGTTTTTCTCTTTTTTTTAAAAAAAAATTTCTTTTTAATCTTTTCTCTCTCTATTCCTATATATATATATATATATATATATATATATTGATACTCTTTACACTACTATTAGCGAAGTGATGGGGGGAAACGCCAGCACGGAGGCGTCTGTTGGGTCTCCACTGTCGGATGCCGATAGCACCGCCCAACAACAACAACAAAAAGAAGATGCGGAGAAGCGCCGTCGCTACGCCCATCTCACTTCTGCCGCCGCCCAACACCAACAAAAAGGCAGTAGCTATAGAAATAATAATAATAGTAATAGTAATAGTGGTGGGACTCATCATAAGAATATTATTGAGACGGTGTATGATGAGGACTTTGACACTATTGATCACATGCAGGCCGTTCGCTTTCCACCAATGGTCGTGAAACAACTGCAGGACGCCGTGGACTCCGAGGCGGAGCGGCGCTGCGCAGATGCGGAGAAGACAATGGCCCGATGTCTGCAGGATAAAATGTGGACATCGTGGAAGTGCCAGAAGGAACGGGATCGATATTATCACTGTGCGGCGAAGGAACGGGAAAACCCATCGCGATTGATGGAATACCGTTGGAAGTATAATTTGGGAACTTTTCATGGTGAGATTATTGGTAGAAATAATATGATGAGACGTGTCTGGGCGGAACACTTTCCAGAGCGGGAATTACCTCATCCATGGGTGAAGGATCAGTAAGAGTATCTTTCTATCTAATGAGAGAGAGAGAAGGAAAGAAAGAGAAGGAATGATGATGAGAAGAAGAGGAAGAGGAAGAAAAAAAAACAACAAGAAGAGGGAGATGGTTATTACAAAACGAAACAACTCAAAAAAAAAAGAAAGAAAGAAGGAAAGAAAGAGATACATAGAGAAAGGTGATAAATGAATGGAGTGGTGGTGTTTACAGTTCTGCAGCATCGGCAGAAAATGGAGAAACGATGAGAGAAGCAGTAGTGGCTTGAATTCATTATGGCACTTCCCCCTTTTTTTTCTAGTTGACTATCGTTTTCTCTCTCTCTCTCTATATATATATATATATATAATAACACTCGATGAACAACTTCCTCGTATTTTTCTCCTCTTTTTCTTCTCTCTCTCTCTCTCTCTTTTTTTAATGTTCTTATCATTCTCTTACTCTTGATGGGTCTTCTCTGTTGTATGTATATATATATATATATATATATAGGGGAGCAGGTACCGTGTCCTGTCTCTAAGAGAGATCATTACAAACAGAATATTTAACGACAGCGTTAAACCTGGGGAAATACAATAATAAAGTGAAGGAGTGCCTACTTTAACAAGAGAATACATATAATTGTTATTATTCTTACATCGTGAATTCGTTTTTCTCTATATACACATATATATATATATATATATATATATAAATATATACACACCTCTGTATTGTAGTTAGAAGAGATGATTCAGATTGTAGCCCCATCGGATGAATTGCGAGAAATGACTTTATTAGAAATGCAAGGGAAAGTTTCTATTCCTCCCAAAGTTCTCCAGCAGGCACGTGAGCAACAACGAGAAAAGGAAGAAGAACAGAAACTTCTTTCTGGAGTAAAACACCCACGTAATGAAGAGACGGTATTGGAATTACCACTTGGTTCTGTGGAGAATGACTCCCGCAATGAGAAGCGCTGCTCTCTACACATTGGAACACTAGTGGTGGATGGAAGTCAAGGAAAGTACAGAGAACCACTCCTCGTATTAAGAAGAAGGGATGAAAAGAAGCGAGAACAAGGATCAAGTAATAATAATAATAATAATAATAATAATAATAATAATAATAATAATAATAATAATAATAGGAATAATGATGTGGAGAAACCTTCTTCTTTTTCTTCAATATCCATTCAACCCTTATCAACAACAGCAACAACAAAGACATCATCATCATCATCTATTTGTTTGTTGGAGGATTGGTTGAAAGATCACCCAGAGGAACTCACATTAGATGCCGCTGCTGCTGCTAATAATAATAATAATAATAATAATAATAATAATAATAATAATAATGAGAATGATAAGGACGGTAATGCCAATAAAGTGCCGAGGAAAGTATATGAGTTAGTGGGTATTGTGGAACGCTATGTGCTTTTAAATTCCAAACCAATGCGAACTTTTTCTTAAAAAAAAAGAAAGGTCTGAGGGTTTTTTTTTTTTCTGTTGTGATTACTTTTTTCATTTACAGAGGAATTTATTTGCGATGACATCATCATAGAGTATGATTATTTTATTGAGAGGAAAGAAAGAAAGAAAGAAAATAATAAACGTAGCGTCCACACATGCTTGGATTACATTTTCTTTTTTCTTTTCTTTTTTACATTCTCCCCCTCCCCTCTCCCTATTGCCATTTCTTCCTTAAAAAGGATATAAAGGGGAGGAGGGTGGAGGAGTATATATATATATATATTTGTTATTCTTTTCTGATTCTTATTAATCAATAATAATAACGACTTGTACTTGTTTTCTTTTTTCTATTATATGTGTCCTATTTATTTAAATCCCTTTTCTTTTTCTCTTTCTTTCTTTCTTTTATTATTATTATTAATACTACTCTAATACGATCACAGCTTTTTCACGTTGCAAAAGGCGACCGGTGTGTGTGTGTGTGTGTCTCGGTGTATGCGCGTGAGAAGTTGCACGCCGTATTGAGTACAATTGAAAGAAAAAAAAAGAATACATTAAAAAGAACTACAAATATTATACACACACGCACATTAGAAAATACATATACACATCGAAAGAAAGAAAGGAAGGGAAAAGGTAAAAAAGAAAAAAAGAAAGAAAAAACAAACACACACATTATATATATATATATATTACAAATAAAGCGGAAAGGAACGACTAATAAAATACATATAACGTTGGAAACTAAAAAAGGAAAAGAAGAAGGGTGATATAGATATTTAGATATTAACTACAAGGAAAACTAAAAAGAAAAAAAAAGATTGAAGAAATAGTAAACAGGAACAAAAAAGAAAAAGAAGAAAAAAAAGGAAAAAAAGAACAGTTTTGTTTTTTTTTTGTTTTTTTTTTCCCCCTTCTCTTGACTATTTTGTTTCTATTTACATGCGATCATCTCCTCTTCTCCGACAGGCCTCACCCTCATCGGCTGCAGCGCTGGGGAAAGGCAGTCGGAGAGTCAACACACCGACACCGTCCAGACTGGCCGGCGCTCATGCCGCGATGCTCGCCATGCAGCACGGACGGCTATTCACTCCACACGCCTACTTATCTGAATCCTCATCATTATCTTCTTCATTATCATCATCATGGACTTCTTCCTCAACTATGGCGGCTGCGGCTGCACCATCATTGCGTAGAAAAAGACGGTATGAACCACATGCATGGATTCTTCAACGATACATTGAACGTGGAGCGGTGGATATGGATTTACTTCTATTCCATCCAGATGCCCCATCGCCAGTAGAGCTGCTATTACGAGTAATGCGGCATCGAACCCCATGTGCTCGGCTCACAGTATATGCACTGCAGGCAGCATTACGTCAGCCACGACTGACTTCTTCAGCAGGCGCGGCGTCTTTTGCACTACAGACAGTAAGTTCACTACTACGTCGACGGTGTCCACATCTCTATGAGACACAAGAGGTGCGAGTGTTGTTGTGTCAATTACTGCTGGCGGAACGGCTTTTTAGTGATGCTGTGGAGATATTGCAAGGGATGCCGGATGCGTGGATTACACCAGGGCTTTGGGTTGCAGCCGTAGAGGCTGCCGCAGAGGGGAAAATCGCCCACTCTACACTTCTCTGGCGATTACTAACATTAGCTCCACCCAAGACACCAACTGCTGGACGTGTAGTACAAACAGGTCAGCGTATTCCAGTTCATCTTCGTAGAGGGGAATTCATGACGGGAATAGAAGGAGGAAAAGGAAAAGGTATGGGACATGTAACACATCAGACGATGATGGGAACTGCTGTTAATGAGAATAGTAGTAATGTCGATGGTAGTAGTAGTGATAGTAATAGTAGTACGGATTATAGTATTAATCATAGCAGTCATAATGGTAGGGGTATTAGAAGCAATAGTATTAGCAACGGTATGGATAATGATGAGGATGATGATGGTAATATGAATAGCAATATGAGTACAAGTAGTAATCGTAGTGGTAGTAATAATAATAATAATAGTAGTAGTAGTATCGGTAGTGGTGTTATAATTTCTGAATTTGAAGTTCGACCAACTTCTTTACTGCGATTAGTTCAGGAAACGGGACAATTGGAATGGTGTAAACTTAGTACTCTTGAGGTAAGCTATGCACAACAACACTATTCAACATTGTGTGATCATCGTGCATGGGGGATGGGAACATTGTATGCAAAGGATGTAGAATCATCCACAGAAGGTATTGTTTATGGTCTTGATGAGAAGTTGGCTTCACGACTCATGCTCCGTGCGAATGTATCATTCTCAGGTCAGGCTTCTCCATTAATTGCTTTGCATATTCTTCGTCGTTATTTACGAACGTGTCATGCTTTGCAAAAACAAGTAATTTCAATAGAAGGTACTAGTAATGTAAATGCTGCAGATAACCTTCGTAAAGGGTCACCAACCGTACAACATTCTAAAGATAAGCATAAGAACAAACATCCACTATTGCCATCATCATCATCATCATCATCATCATCTGATACACTGATGCATAAGGGTAACGAATCCACACTTCTTAAAGGTTCTCAAGTCCACCCTTCCCCTTTCTTACTATTTTTTAAAATTGTTCGAGAGGCTCGTGATGTGGTGGGAGTCAATAGTAGTAGTAATATCACTGAACAACAACAACAACATGTTGCCGTGTTTGGACAACCACACCCCACCACTCCCAGTGGACTCCCAATGATTCACTGGGGTGTTGTCTGGCATTTCTTCCAGAGATTAAACCGCGAGTGTCCATCGTGGTATACAATTATCCCTGAAGAGGCCGGGGATCTCAGTCGGTATGTCATTGATGCCCTTTGCCGAGGGGCGGATCCATGGATGACACTTAACGTGGCCCGTGCCGTCTCTGCTCGTCACGTTGTGGATGGATTGGATATTTCTCTCTGGTTACTACACCGTTTAGATGCCTCTCATCACACAGAAGAGGCACGAGAGGTGACACGAAAAGTATTTCGTTGGTTATTAGTGGATGTTGGTATTCATCTATTACCACAATTACATCATCACCTGACGCCTGCAGCTCGTGTGCTTATTCGTCTTGGTTTATATGATGAACTACAACACTTTTATAATGCGGTATTGGATAATGTGTATGCCTTTGCAGAGGATTTTCGTACAGAGTTTATGCATGTAATGGCAGATTTGGTATGTCCATCCTGTAGTTCACTTTTACCAACTCAGAATGTCTTTGTAGAACGATCTTGTCCATTGTGTTTAACCATTATACCACCTAAAAACGCACGTGAACTTCCGAGTTTTCAGTTATCAAGTGAACATATTAATCGTCTACGTGAGAGGCGTAAAACATTACGTCTTAAAGATAGACAACGACTTCATGAACGTATTTATCGCTGGTCCAAACGTGGAGATGATAGAAGTGATACTACTCTACCACTAGAGATGAAAACCCCAGAGTTAACAGGAGGAACCACAATATCTTCTTCTTCTTCACCAACATCATCATCATTTTCTTCTCGACCTCCATTAGATGCTAGCAGCGTTTTCAAACATGTGGTACTTGGTGATACTAAACCACTGATTCCTGGTGTTTCCGTAGAAAAAGAAATTAAATTCTTTTTACTAGAAGGGGATAAAGATAAGAATGATAGCAGTATGAGTAACCAAATGAGTAATGATATAGATAGTAAGAAGGATTCTTTTGATGTTCATGCAGCCATGGAAGAATCATCTAGACGTTTACAACTACAAGAAGCGGCCAGACAATATGCTTTAGCACAACGTGGTGTCTCATTATCTTCAGCACGACAACTCGCAGCATTACCTTCTCTCATTTCATCTACTACACATCACATGGAATTTCCACGATGGAAACAACGACATCAGCAACTACATCCATATCAAGATGGACAACAAACACTTCTACTTGGACACTTGCGTGTGGATGGTCCATGGACATGTGTGTGGTGTCAGGAACAGAATTCCGAGTGGAGTTCACGTGTTCAATGTTCAGCCTGTGGAGCTGAAACTGGTCCATCCGCACCATGGAGACACTTCGCATATAGTGAAACAGGTGATGTAATGGTAGAGATACGTGGACGTATTGCAAACGCAGAGGAACGTCCTGTAGATGCGGTGGTGGCTGCGTATTTACTTATGGTGTACAGACGAGCCTTTTTACTGCGGGCTATACCACATGATCATGAACGTATTGATCAACTTATTCGTCGTCTTTGCACATTACATGAACGTGTCTTGGCAGGTTATATCTATATACGATTTGTTCCTCCACAACGTCGTTGTAAAGGTCCGACATTGTTTGCATTGGCACAATTATTTGGAAGTACAGAGTCGGCATGTATGAGTCTTTCAGCACGAGAATTAATGCAAGATGAAAAATTTTTTGAAACTGTTTTTACTCCAGCTACATGCAAAGTATGTTTTGGTTTACATGCATGGAAAATGTGTCCTATTATAACACGAGACTTTTCTACAGCTACACGTACTTCTATTAATATGACCACAGAGGAGAAACAACGTGCCATGTTGGAGCAATTACGAAATGCAGTGGGTGAAGCTATTCAACATGGGAGTGAAAATAGTCGTCTTGTAGTAGAAGCTTATACAACTTTTGTAAAATCTCCACATCGTGAACTCTTTGCACAGGTACACTGCCGTGATGTAAATCATCTTTCTATATTACTTTCTCGATATCATCAATACCGACGTGCGGCTTTTGTGCTATGTCATATCCCATTACACTTACGGGATGATCAAGCATATTTAGTAATGGTACATTACTTTAATGTACCTGTAGAGGAGGCTCAAGAATTATTACAAAAGCGAAGTCCACTTGGTGTAGAAGATGAAACACATCCAAATTTTGTCCAAGTGGCCCTTACTTGTTGTATGTGTCTTGATGGGCGACACGCTTCATTTGAATGTCCACGTTTAACACAATGGTTAAATGAAGTAGATGCACACAATGCAATGATAAGTACTTCTTCATCTTCTTCCAATAATATTTCTTCTACTGGTAGTAATGCTCTTAGTGACCCAGCGTGGGAGCAACAACAGGCAAGAAGATTGCGGGCTCAAGTAGATGGTTGGACTTCTGCGGGTCCTGAAAGATTACATGCGTTTTACCGATTTTTACTGCAACATGTTGATACATTTCAAGAAGAAATTCTATCAGAAAGTAGTATTGATGTAGATGATGAGAAAGATTTTAATTCTACTACCTCAACTGAAAGAAAGGTAATCGGGTCTGTAGGAGGAACAGCGAGAGGAACCACAGTTCGAAGACCACAAAGACGAATGGACGTAAATGATCCTATTATTTATGCTCTTAACAAGACTATTATAAAACTTGCGGAAGTAGGACACGAAAAAGGAGCTTATAGACTATATGCTAGAGCTCCTGTGTCGTTTATTTCACGTCTTACTACCAGTTCCATGTTGCGTATGAATCGTTTCTCTGAGGAAAGTATCCGCACACTCTTAAATAGTAGTGGTAGTAGTAGTAGTAGTAATAATGGTCGTGATACTCTTAATTCCTCTTCCTCTTCTTCTGCTGCTGCTGTTGCTGCTGTGGACGATGCACGAGCGTTGGGTTTGTCTAGTGAGGCTGCCCGTGCGGCGGCTGTTCCCCTACGCGGCCTCTGCCTGCTGTGCTTTGACCGCCGTCACGCCTATCTCGACTGCCCGGAGCTCGCGGCGCAGTCCAGCACGGCGGCGAGACTCGAATACGTGGCGGTGCACGTTGGCGGGATTCGCTGCGGGGCCGATGGGGTGCGGGCGGCGGCGGCGTACGTGTACCACACTTACAACCACGGCGGCCTCACCGGCGAGTGGCTGCGGGGGTCGTCGACGGTCGGACGGGCGCTGCGACTTCTCGCCGGCCGCTGTTTTGCCGCCGGCCTCCCCGCCCCCGGCGCCCGCGTCCTCCGCCGCCTGCCGCCCTCCACCGCCCCCGACGCCGCGGCGGGGCTCTCGAATGAGGCCCTTCATGCCGCTCTCTGGCGGGCGGCGGGGCTCCCGGCGGGGGTCATCGCCAGCCGGCGACTGCAGCTGCGGGCGGCCTACGCGGCGGAGGGGGTCACAGACGAGCAGACAGACCCAGACACACCCCGTCCAACGTACTCCAACCGCTTTCTCGCACAGGTGAGCCACATTCTACATGATGATCTTTGTCGACACTGCTACCAGCATGGACACACACTCGCTACATGTGGTGTCTTTCACGCTGAGGTGAGCTTTGGTCGGGATTATGTCGCCGCTTATCGTATGAGTATGATGTCGGAGCAATTGGATCGTGATTGGCAGGATGCATATTTGTTAAAACTAGCAGATTTCTTTCAAACACACAGGCTTTTTATGCCCTATCACATTGTTGGAGTTACGAATGCGCTGAATGCTATTGCAGCAATGTGGAGTTTCCGTGGAGAACCAGGAATTGCCATGCGGCACTTACTTACAATTCCACCAGCTTACCGTCGTCGACAGGCGTTTAAACATATCCTTCACGCACTACACATACCAACAGCGGAGATATCACGTGTACTCGCCAATGTATACTTCTCTCCAGATGAATTGTTATCATCATCATCATCATCAAATAAACGGCGAGGGGATTCTAGCGAAGGATCTTCTTCAACTAATACCACTAATAGTACTGTTAGTAGTAATAACAATGGAAATGTTAGTAATAGTGGAGGTGCGGTGGCGCAGCATTTATTAATGCCTAAACCAGCTATTCGTGATGTAGCCATGACATCAGTATTTAATCATTTCCCTGAGGCATTAGCGGCTTTGGAGAAGAGTGAGGAACGTATGATGGCAATCCGACGACGTAACGCCACACAAAAATCAATAACTGACAATCGAGGCAGAAATCATCTCTCTATAAAGGATGGATCAGTAAACCAGACTACGTTTTCCACAGAAACATCATCATCATCATCAAGTTCAGGGAACACACCATCACCTGCAATACGAGTAATGCAGAGTGGAGATATTTTAACACTCCGAGAAGATTTTGATCCGATACTAACAGAGTTAGAGATGGCAGTGGGAATGAAACTAGGCAGTCGACACGTACTTTTTACAAGTGCGGTTGATATTCTTTCAGCGGCCGCTAACAAAAAAGATGACTCAAAGGAAGATGATCACGCTTCTTCTTCTTCATCGTCATCAGTACCATCGACACCACCAGTTACAGTAACAACAACCATATCAGAGTCTTCACAATCATCATCATCATCATCGACACAGTCTATTGTAAAAGAAACTTCAACTGCCAAGAATGCAGAAATGCAAACTCGTTCATCTCAACCACAGGTATCTGATGAGGACACAATTATCACCGTTTTCACAGAAGAGTCTGGACGAGATGAACGGAAAAAGACAAGTAAACGTGGCAACAACAGTAACACTCGCTCTTCTTCTTCTTCTTGGTCTACAGAGAAGAGAGAAACATCTAATGATTCTCCAAGGCGTCAACAACATGGAACACAACATCAACATCATCATCACCATTACTCTCAGAAACCGCGTTATCACGAACGTCAGCATCGTCAGCGTAATCAAGAGCAACAACAACAACAACATCGTCGAGGTCAGAGAAGTGGTGGTGGAAACGGCAGGAGGTAATTCTTTTATTCCAACGGAATTCTCCATCTGTGCAAAGAGGCCGCTATAGATTCTTTGGTGCTGGGAGATTTGTTTTGGTGTTAGACGAGAATCTGGATTGTCTCAAGCCATTGCGCATGACGGACATGTAGTAAGAAGAAAAAAAAAAAAAGGAAAGAAGAAGAAAGAGAGAAGGAAGAAATAAGAAAGCTTTTCTTAATCTTTATTTGTTTTAAAAAAAAAAATGGAAGGAAATATAAATTTAAAGTGTGTGTGTGTGTGTGTGAGAGAGAGAGAGAGAGAGAGAGAGAGAGAGAGAGAGAGAGAGAGTAGTTGTGACGTGTTTATGAGAAAGGACCTTTTTTTTTGTGTATGTGTATGTGGAGAATAGATGAGAAATGTCGCATCATTATCACATAGGAAGAAAAAGAAAAAAAAAAAAAAAAGACAACGACTTTTACTACTATTTCTGCAGTTGTTCGTTTTCTTTTTTCTTTCTTTCTTTTCTTTCTTCAAGCCACTCTAGTTATGATTGTGGTTATATATATATATATATTTATATATATTTATACTCTTGCTATAGATGATGTTTATAATTGATGATGATGATTTATTATTATGACTATTGTGATGGTGGTTGTTTTAGTTATTATTGGATTCTCTTCACCCTTCTTTTTCTTGTCTCTTGAAAGTTTTGAAGCGGAAGCAGATTGAAGGAGCAACACATTTGGAAAACACCATAAACAAAAAAAAACAGAAAAAAACAAAACAAAACAAACAACAGCAACAACAACTATCAAATAATAGAAAAGTATAAGCGTATACCTACTTTCTTATCTCATCTCTACTATTATAAATATTCTTGGTAGTATCCGTACGAACAATAAATTGCTATTATTCAAGATACTACTATTTTACTACTGTTAACACTAGTATTAGCATTATTTTAGTAGATATTAATATATAAAAGGCTACAGTTTAGTGCCACTTTTTTATTTTTCTGACGTTGGAAGGACGAAGCGAAAGCGTTGTTCTGAATCATCGCACCATTTGTGCCAAATACCGGAAGAAGCCCAGCAGAAGATTTCTAACCACACGGAAGACATCTTTTCCTCTCAAAATCAAAGGAATTCAGATCACGGAATGTCATGGAGTTATTATGATAATTACCCTGAGAGGTCAACTATCGGGAATACGGAACCCACTGGAAATCAAACAAAAGACAGTAATATCAGAAATGAGAGAAGTAGTTGGGGTGGTGGTGGTGGTGTTGGCAGTAACAGCGTGGATGGTCTTCAGAAGTTTCTAAATCGTGGTATTTATTTACGTCCGAATGTTTTTATGATTAATGGAACCGCAACAGATTTGATGGGATCATTATATATGATGAATACCACCGTTCCCAGTAATATCGCATTTTCTTCCTTTTCCTCTTCATCATCATCATCTCCAGGGACAAACACCACAACTATGATGGTAACACCGCCATCCTTTTTACGGGGATACAAACGATCCGATACCCCAACATGTTGGGTTTCATTTAATTATGAATTGAGATTAGGAAGTAGTGAATATTTTAGTCTAGGTGAAGAAGCACGTGCAGCATTACTATCAGAAGAGTTTACGGAAGATGAATTGGTACATGATTCTCTATTAACAAGACAAGGGAATACCGCAGATGTATTACAATATCAAGCTATTGCAATGCAGTTATCTATCAGTTTACGTGAAAATCGCCTATCCACACTTTTTAGAGAAGAATGGTGTAGAATTAAGGATAGACCAGAAGAATCACGACATATCTCAACCTTTTTAGGTAGTGTTGGAGATTATTTGGGGTTTGGTTCTGTTTTAATGAGTGGTGTAGAGGTGGCATTGCGAGCTATGCAACCTGGTAAAACATCTGAATTTCTTATTATAGACTCAAACCTAGAGTTTGAGAATGCAGATAATATAAATGAATTACGTCCTACTACTAGATCTTCCGTATTACAATGTGTTTATATTAAAATTGAACTATTGCATCGTATACCGCATGAATATATTCTTCCAGTTATTTTTCAGAAGTATATTGTACAACTTCCTTCTTCTACCACAACAGAGGATACAGAGACAACAACTACAACTAACATTACTACTACTACTACTACTACTAACAGTATGATACGAGATCGTGCAGGTGCACATGCACGTCTTTTTCGTTTTTTCCCCTCAACACTCTTCAGTAAATCCACAAATCCTAATCTTCCACAGTCCTTGACATCTGTACATGCGCTCCGTGCCTTTTTTATGGCTATTCTATCAGTAGCAGCTAACTGTTGTGTGGGAAACTCATCATCCTCGTTAACACCATTACGAGATGGGCGTCCAAGTGGAAAACTAGCACGTTTATGTGATTCATTAGGGCATCCTTTCAAAGGCATTTACAGTGATGCGGGAAATGTCCGAAATACCAGCAATGATAATCATACCAGCAGTACTGGTAGTGTTAATGGTCCATTAACGGAGGCAGATGCTAAAATGTTTGTGTATTTAAATTTTCTTAAATCACCAAGTGATGGTGCGACAGTAAATTGCAAAATTATACGAAATGGGGAACTGATGGGAAATCCATTACCCCCTTTAGAGTTGAAGGATGTATTATTGGGAAGTATGGCTATGCCATTATGGTTGGATATGTTACTACAAACTATGCGGAATGGGGAAGAGGATGTGATGAATTTAAGTATGAAGGGTGAAAGTGATGCGGAGTTTCATTCTTCATTTGTGGAGGAAATACGGAATACGGTTATTCAACATGTTAATTACATAAAATCAGGGAAAACATCTTCTTCAGTAAGACATGATGATGAAGATGAAGATGATAGTCATCATCAATATCATCATTATCATCATCAAGGAGAACCAAAACAGCATCAACAACAATCACGAATGACGTCTTCTGACATGTTAGCTCAGGAAAATTTTATTTTTCCGGATAATGTAAATGTATCCATTTCTGATCGATCTAAACATGAAGGAGAACATAACCCATTATTTACATATAACTTTAGCTGTCACGTTGTACTTGAAGACTTTAAAAATGCTTACGATTTAAATGCCTTTTTCTTTGTTAATCCAGAATCTTCCTTACGTGTGGTACAAAAATTGGAAAATGAAGTCCTTGCTCTCTCTCGTGCAGAAGATATTATGTATAAAAATGGTAATTGTTGTAGAGACTTTATTCCTGAAAATGAGGATATCCTCCCATGTGTAACCGCAAAGATGATCCATATTCAACCCGCTGCATTAGGCCACAATACCCACTGTTTTGTCGAGCGTAGTGTTGTGAAGGCTATTCATAAAATGAACTTTGCTATTCTTTTATTAACATTTTACGTTCATGAGGAGAATATGTTGGCACAACGAATCTTGACAACGACGTTATCGCAACAACGTCGTGTGGCACTTGCCCGTGCATTTTATTTTCTTGGCAATATCTATCTCCAACTACAGCATGAGGGTGTTTACAGTCTGGCGGTAGAAGCATACTCCGCGGCTATTGAAATTCTTCCAGATGATGAGCAGTTACGATTGCGCCGTGGGGATTTACTGCGGGAGTTTCACCGGGATGCGGCTGTACATGACTTTGAGGTGGCCAGAAGTATTCTGCAGATGAAACTACAACGATACAACACACAACAAACTACTTCTTCTTCCTCTAATTCTTCTTCTGGTGCTGCTGGTGTTGTTGTGAGTGGAGGAGAGAGCGGTGGGGTTCATCGTGATGATAGGGAGAGGGAACATTTGTGGAGATTACTGCAGGGTGTGGAGCATAGTATAAATGTGTTGCGGGGATCAGGGGGACCTCCAAATGTCCATTGAAGTTGAAGAAACAAAACAATGGAGAGAGAGAGAGAGAAAGTGATAAATATTGAAGGAGGGATATTATATATATATATATATATATATATATATATATATGTATGAAGAAGAAGAAAATGAGACTCTGGAAATGTTAATTACCTTTACGAGGAACAACAGCTCCACAGTTTTTCTTTTTTCTTTTTTTCTTTCTTTCCTTCTCGTTTTTCACCATATACACACTGGTATGACTTTGTTTTTATTCTAATGTGTGTATTTCTCTCTCTTCTCTCCATAAAAAAAAAAAAAA